AATCATTATATTATAACCTGATGTACAAGATCAGATATTGATTAAAAAAGCGAGAAATTTCGTATTAAACCAAGAAAATAATATTTTAATAATGTATAAAATATTTAATTTTAGGGGAATACGATAAGTCACTAAATAGTAAATAGTGTTACCTATGAGTCGTATAATTGAAATTCTTGAAACTTTCATGACCGTTAGTGGCTTGTTTAGAAACAGACAAACAAAACAATGTGGAACGTATTTTCTGCTCAACCTGCATATAGATATCAGCAAGTTTATAACTTCGCGTGTTTGTAGGTTGTCAAAAATGGCACAACATTTAGTGAATTTGTAATGGGACATTTGAATTATAATTACAAAACCAAACTAAAATTAATTTTTAATATTATTATTAATTTCTCTAAATATAACATAGTGTAACTATATAATTTGTCTAAAAATAACTGAAAATATTACCTACCTATCCTCACTATGGAAATTATTAAAATTAATATTATTGAATATACTTTTAGGAATTTATAAACTTTATATTTTTATTAATCTTATGAAATTGAATAATTATTATTAAGCATAGATGTAAGAGCAACTGTTCTATTATATTTAATCATATTATATAACGCTTTTTTCAATACGCTGCCTTTATAAATTAGATTTCAAATGAGTTTTTATTTCTAACTGTTTTAAAGGAGTTTACTATAGGCAATCACATAAAAAAGTGTATGTGCGTGCCATCAATCGTTGCCTATACCGCTGTTGCATTCGCTCTTACATTCAAATTATGTCAAGTACTTAATAATATACATACACAATAACTTCACAAATTTTGCTATTACATATCTAATTTCACTCACCAAAATAATTAAAAATAATAGACCTAAGAGTGTTCAAAACCGAATTAAAGCACTGCATACTTTCTTAATTTGCTACTGCACATTTTATATTATTGCTACTGAACACAGTTTTATGTCTTGGTTTTAATTTGGTTTGGTTTTCAAATATATTTCGTAAAATTKGTAAAATGGAACTTACACTGTTGGTAAAATATAATAATATAATAATTATTACTTGACTAAATATTTCGAAATTTGTTGACGTCCAAAGTCGTGATCCATCTACAGAGAAACGTCTACGAATAGTACGAATGAACTAATAGTTACCTAGGTATCCAACCATCCAGGTTAAAGGTTTACCATTAGCGGTAGTGCTCGCGGCTTCGTATTAATTTTGTGTTGTAACTTCTGTCGTCTATGCGACCCCCGACATTTGGTTCATCATACTTATCACGAGTTGGCGGCGATCCGTTGATAAAAACTCCGCTACGTAAAAACCCTAGATAATATATAATGGATAGGACATCCCTATACTAAATAGTAAATACCCATGGGGTATTTACTATTTATATATACTATATATATGTAATATATAATATAATAATAATATTAATAATATTATATATATATAATATATAATATATATATACTATATATATATTTATATATACTATATTTATATATATTTACTATTTATACTATTTATTTATACTATTACTTATTATAATACTATTACTAATAGTCTATTCTATTAACCTTGGTAAATACCCATGGGGCAGCGTTCCCGAAGTTTTGGTATGTGCCCCATCTATACCATTGTTACCAGTAGTAACCAACAGGTTACCATTTTAATTTTATCACTATCTACAAATAATTGTTATCAAACAAATAATAATGTTAAACATTGAATTTGTCGTTTACGGATTGACTTTAAAACACAATTATTTTGAATAATCTGAAATTCAACAGAAATACAGTTTAAAGTTTAAAGTAATCTTCATTAGTGGGTTATTCATTTATTTTATATATTTTATTGACTATTGTTACCACGGTAGATTACAACCAAATCACTTATTACCTAAATACAAATATAAATAATTATTATAAGTAATTTTGTATATATTTATATTTTCTTATATTTCATATTTATCATATTATACTGTGTTATGGAGTATGGACTTATTGTTATTAATTTCCATTTACCAATTATAAAAGCACCTACTGGCTAAAATAAACTAAAATAATTATTTTGTTTTAAATTTAAATAAAAAAGATTTGTTCATGGGATAAAAAATGTATTACCCCGTAGCTTATCATTYGGGAACGCACGGAGAAGGCAGCGGCCGCTGAATATGGCCTATCCATTATATATTATCTATGGTTAGAGCACTATAAATGTAGTATAGTGCCTTACTATGGTAATAACATATTTTGAGACGGTTGTTGTTGTTTACAAATATTTGATATCATGCTATCCATCCTCGTGATAGCTGATCAAATCAACCGTTGCTCGTTGGCCGCTGACGTGAGAATATTATTGTTACAATTATTATTACACGTCGCCGTCTGCTGAGTAGGTGCTTTAATTCCTATTAAAATATACAATTACTAAGTAGTACCATTTGACATTTGCCCATTTATCCACTTACGATAACGCACTGTAGTCAGTAAGTTGTTACATTATTTATCACTAACGTATTCTATAATATTATACAATCGCTTTATTTTAAAACTGTTTCCGCRCCGGTGGTATCTATGATGATAATCGATGTAACAGTTTTATAGTAAAAAAATTAGTTCCGACAGTGGTATCTCAGAATAATTGAGTCCGTGGCATGGCACCACGTCTCGTGTGCACATAAAACCAACAACTGTACTCTGCAATAACTTAAAGTCACCATCAACTTGGTTGTGTGCTATTTGTTGTCGTCGTCGAAAATAAACTTATTGCCGTCTAGTTAGTACAAATGATCATGCTTAAAGCCGTAATACTGATTGGCGGCCCATCCAAAGGTAAGTTATAACATTTTTACTTTAACTACACACTTTCATCATGTTTAGTTTTTGTTATTAGATTTTTTAAATTTTTACAGGCACTCGATTTAGACCCCTTTCGTTGGATGTACCTAAACCACTTTTCCCCGTGGCTGGCTTACCTGTTGTTCAACACCACATAGATGCATGTTACCGTCTGGGCCAAAAGCGTAACTCAATTGCTGTAGACGGTAGTAAGAACAATGTCAACAAATATTGTATAGCCGAAGTGCTCTTATTGGGATACTACGGAGATGATGAGCTGGCAGACTTTTTACTTACAGCCACTCAGAGTTATCCATCACTGCGAATTAGGTATGGTTTTGCTAACTAATACCTACTTTAATATAATACTCATATTATCTCATTATATTTCCTATATATGTTTTTTTTATAAATGATCAAACAATTATGATGTGTTTAGATATCTACGCGAGCCTGATGCTTTGGGTACAGCTGGTGGCTTATATCATTTTCGAGATACGATACTTGCTCCGTTAGGAAATACTGATGGCAGTGAAGGTGAACAAGTGCAGGCATTTTTTGTAATGAATGGTGATGTTTGCGCTGATTTTCCATTAGATGAAATGCTTGACATGCACTTCAATAATAATAATTYCCAGTCACAGCATCAACAAAAACCTGTGCTAATTACTGTTATGGCTACTGAAACTACTCGACAACAATCTGTACACTATGGTATGCTAATATGCTATATAAGATAAGGGGTTATGTGTTCGAAAATGATATGTTCGAATAAAATGTGTTCGAATGAAAAGTGTTCGAAAAAGCATATTTTCGGATGAATTTTTGTTCGAATAGTTAAACTCAGTCTTCTCTAAGAACTCTAAGAATAAGCATATTATATTAAAATATTATTTATATACTGAAAAAAATTATTAAATATATAGGTAAAAACAAGCATATTATATTAAAATATTATTTATTTATTTATTATTTATATAGTGAAAAAAATTATTAAATGTATAGGTCTATGTATATCGTCAAATAAAATAAACAAATGTATATACGAGTATATTCAAGTTAAAAATTTAAATTGTACGCAATTCGGTGCGTAAATAATGTTAATTGTTAAATTGTCTTAAATAACCGTCTTTCCCTGGTTAACGGTATAATAGTTGGAATATACTATAGATAATAGATATCTTAATATCTATAATTTCAAAATAATAAATACAAAGTTTTCGAACAAAAATTCATCCGAACATATGCTTTTTCGAACACTTTTCATTCGAACACATTTTATTCGAACATATCATTTTCGAACACGTAACCCGACACCCTATATAATAATATTATTACCTGTATGTGATAGGTTATTTAATGACCAAAATTCTTTTGTTGTTATTAATTATGTTTAGGTTGCATGGTTGTAGACAAAGAAACAAATATCATACAACATTATGTTGAGAAGCCATCTACATTTGTTTCAAACACAGTGAACTGCGGTGTTTATTTGTGTTCCCCACGGTTATTTGATACTATAGCAGATATTCATTTAGAAATGTCTAACAGTAACGGAAATGGTAATCAACAACATATCACCAGGTATACTACTAAGTAATAGAAGAACACAGTAAGAATTTAAAATAGAAGTTCCTTAATTTACAAATAAATTTTACCCTGTTTATAGCAGTCATAAAAGTAATATTAACCAACAGCAGCAACAAAAGCTGACTGAAGAGCGAGTTGCTGCTGCCATGGTCATGTGGATGGAGCAAGATGTGCTACGTAGACTGGCAGGAGAATCTGGAAGTGGTTGCAGTAGTGGTGGTGATGTTGGTAGTAGAATAAAGAAAGATGCTGTATGTAGTGGAGTGGCATTGGCAGCAACAACACGTAACTGGTGGTCTCAATTAAAGACTGCTGGTGCTGCAATCTATGCAAATCGTCACTATTTAGCTTTGCGCCAACAACGACAACGATTACTACAACGAGAGTCAATTGATTTACCATTGCCTTCACCAGTAAAATGTCGATTGGCAACTGCAAATCCTAATGGTGGATATTCAACAATTGGAAATGTGTATGTGCATCCATCAGCTCAAGTGCATCCAACTGCATTAGTTAGTTACACTTTATTTTGTATTTATTATTCATTTTTATAAAGTGTAAAAAATTAAAATTGGTAATTTTAGTAATTRTTAATAGTTTTTAAATTACAATACTTGCTTTATTATTCTAATGTTTTTTTTAAATTATTATTAGCTCGGTCCAAATGTAAGTGTTGGCGAAGGAGCATGTATTGATCAAGGTGTACGTGTCAAGGAGTCTATTGTGCTACAAGATGCTGTCATAGGTCAACATAGTCTGGTAATTAAGCTGTAATAATTTTTTGTTATTTAAAATCAAAATTTTGCTATTAATTGTATAGTATATAGAATCTACTCTATAAGTAGTTAATAATTATACTCTATCTTAAATTCTCAAAAAAAGAATAATCACTTTTTGCACAGTGTGATTGATGCGAATGACGCATCAAGAACCATGTGATTTTACTAACACTGGGTGGTTAGGGGAAAATGCACAGCACTGAAGAAAATCCGTCAGCTGACTGATTTTATTCTTTTCTGAGACGGGGTAAAGAATGAATATTTTCATTGTACATGTAGTGTATTGTGTATTGTTTCTAATAATATTGAGTGTATAAATTTATTATGTTACATAATTTTTTTCTCTTATGACTTATATACCTAACCAGTTATAATTATGTATAAAATGTAATTTTAAGTATTAAATCACTTAATATTAAGAATTTAAATAAAATTAAWGCCAATAAAACATTTAACACTTTCATATGATGGCAATAAAACAGTTAAAAGTCTATGGATACTCGCTTTATACAGATAGTATGAATTATTTTWTTTATCAGTAAAAATACAAGTGACTGTGGATGTAAAACCATTTATCACCATCATATAAATATATTAATTGTTGAACTGATTAGTATTTAATTATAAAAATGTATTTTAGTAAGAAATTCCTTAATAGGACACCACTTTTATAATATTTCATAAATTAATATATTTAGGTGATGCACAGCATTATTGGTAGACGTGCTAAAGTTGGTGCTTGGTGTCGTGTAGAAGGTAGTGCAGCATGTTCGGACCCTAATCCTAATGTGGCATATGCAAAAATGACACCTCAGCTGCCCTTATTTAACGCCTTAGATGGTCGACTTAATCCATCCATAACTATACTTGGTAGGTTTTATTTTTTATCATATTTTTTATTTGTACAACAATTGTTATATTACTAAAAGTTTATTGTTATATAATATAGGTTGTGGAGTCAACGTCGAATCTGAGGTGGTATTATTGAACAGCATTGTGTTGCCTTACAAGACTTTAACTAGAAGTTATAAAAACGAAATAATATTGTGATCATTATATAGATGAAGACTCATGAAATGTAAATTAAGACAAAATTAAATTAATAATATTTTTTGTGTGTCATATAATTATTGGCCAACTCATTATCGATACATAAATTATGATGTAAATTTATTGTTATTATAAATACGAGTATTTATGCATTTATATTAATTTACTTATATTTCATATCCTTATTAATTATTTATGCACATTTTTATTGTTAACTGTTACACAAGTGTATTTTTGCATATTATCATTACTTAAAAATTTAATATCAATTAAATAGTTTATTTAAACATATATTTTTATACTAATTTGTCTTACCTATATCTTATTATTATTTTTTATTCGTGCTAATAGTCAAATCTTCAAAAAAAAAAAACTTGTTAAGTGGTCAGTTTTTATTGGTGAAAAATATATTTATTGCCTTAGCTCAAACAATTACAAATATGCTTTCAAATATTTATTTAAATAATACCTAGACATTTTTTTTTTATAAATATTAACTAATTTAACTATGGTGTTGGTAATCTGTCTGGAATTCCCAGAAGAAAATCAATGAAATAAGTTTATTGACCACAATATGGTTATTTCATTTTTTTCTTCCCAAGTCTAATGTTACGGTTATGATATTATGATGTTAAAAATTAGTTGTGAATAATATTAATGATTTAACATATTTTTAATGTTGGACCAAAAAATGATGACATCTTATAATTTATGAGACATAATATAATAATTAATTGTAAATAGTTTATAATAATAGTTAATTAAATAAATAAAAAACAAATATAGAATATGTAAACACAATTTAGCTAACCTAATTCCAAAAAAGTTTATAAAATGTGAAAAATCAAAAAAGAAATTAATTTAATTTTTAGTAATAAATTWAAAAAAGTTATTCGATTTTTTAATCTAGACATTTTTAAGTAGTATTCTATTTTTAACAGTAATTTATTTCTTTAACATTTTTTTTATGATTGAAATTTAATATTTATAAACCGACATTCTGGTAGGTTTTAAGATACATTAAAATGAAATAAGAAATAATGATAACATAATATAATATAATAATATATTATTTGACAGGCCTGCCTGCATCATATTTATATATAACAAACAAGGCTGGTGAGTTAGAGTTGAACTTTATGGACCATCTATCATATGGGTTAGCTTAGTAATATATGATCAACATTTAACACCCCAAAATCTAAACAATAAAATACAAACAATAATGAGCACTGGACAAAATCTTAAAACTTGGTTGGCAGATACCTAGCATAGTGACTATAACAAACATAACAAGTGGAAGTACCTAAGCTCCTCCAAAATGATTTACATATACTCCAAAATAAATATTAACTGGAGCTTTTGACAGTTAATGTATTTTTCTTATTTAACAGATTTAAAGAAAAATGTATAATCATAGCTTTTATCAATCAATAGAATATTTTAAACATATTTAGACTTGGCATACACAAATATGATAGGTAATAACTGTATTTTGTAAATAATAGTACTATATATAATAGCTTAAATACATATATGTATACATTTCAAGGACAGTAATTCTGGAGTTAATTGTGAATAAAAAAAATACATAATCCTTATTAATTATTCAGTTGTTTGGTGTAAACCATGAGTTATTTAAGTATGCACATAGCACAATTGAATTTATAAATAATATCATAAGCACACATTTATTTTAGTAAATAATTTAAATATAAATCTACATCATTTACATCACAGAATTATTAAAAGACAAACATCTTAATTTGTTGCACTTATGACTTGAAAGATATTCTTCTCCTCAGTATCCATTTAAACCATTGTATAATTTATTGATTGAGTTTTCACMCAATATTCTTTTGAGATCTAAAAAACAAACATTTTAAATATTAACTGTAATCGAATTATAAAAAATAATATTTTTAAGATATACTTAAAACACTGATTACTAATATAGTAATATGTAATTTATTTTAAAGTCATTAATGTAATTTTCTATGATAAACATTAATTTTGTCTTAACCTGATTTTAAGCATAAAGTACTAATATTCACATAAATAATGTCTAAGGAGATTTCATACTGATATTAATTATTCTTTAATAAATGTTTTTTTAAAGGACTTTATATTCGCATGTATTATTGTCCATGTCTTACAAATGCATAATATAGAAAATTTTAAGCGCAGCAAATCACATTTAGCTTTGTTAGTTTAAAACTTAAGAGTAAATTGACTAGTAAGTTGTCTAAATAATAATCTTTCCTTTAAATTTTATAAGAGGTTACACTCTAATTTTTAAACTAATGGAGCTAAACATTAATTGCTGAGTGTACAATTAAATTTGCTATGTTACTCATTTATAATACAGAATAGATACAATGTAAACAGTTTATAAGACGGAGATAACACATAACATACAGGTAAAACAATAATAACAAATAATGAAATTTCAATTACAAAAAATATATGTTACCTTCTTTGTCTTGTTCATTGAAGTCATTTTTAGGAAACTGGATGTCAATAGTAATGATAAGATAACCATGCAGGTTATTATTTTCATAGTTGGGCATTCCTTCACCTTTTTTACGAATTTTTGCTCCAGGCCAGGTTACAGTATTTCGTTCAATAAGAATTTTTCTTCCATCCAATTGGGTTATCTCTGTTTGGAAGCCAATCAATGCGTCCTACAAATAAATAATATATTAAAATTCTTTTTATGTACATAAATTATTAAAAACCTAACATTTATCAATCATATATATGCATATAATWAATAAAAGATAACAATGTTTACTATAAACCAAATCAATACATTTACGTTAATAATTGAGCTATTACTAAAATGTTTATTACATTCATTTTGAGTCAATTGAAATTTATCTTAAATTATGTGTAGGTTTTAACATACAAATATAAAATTTTAATGGAAAAAAAAAATGTTTATATAATACCTTCAAATTTTATTTTATTACTGATTATTTTTAGAGCTATACATTTCCATGAACATTTTTTTGAATAAATTTGGAAATTTTTTTTATATTGATTTTGTAGTTACTAATTTTTTTTTTAAAGTTATAGAAAATTTGTTAATTTAACACAAAATACTTACCGACAATTTAGTATTACAACAATATAGTCAGTATATTATTAGTATTGTTATTAATTATCATTATCACAGTTTTTATAATTATTCCTAAATAGGTAAGATTAGAATTTTTTAATATTTTTTTCAAACTTATAGTTGTAATTATTTTTAATTCACAAGAACTCAACAAACTAGACATATAAACTCACATAACTTGGAAAAAAATAATATATAAATATATTTCCTCGAAGAATTTTTATTAAATAATTTTATAAATATGAATTAAGTACCTGTAATGTAATAGTTAGATTAGTGTATAAATCATCGCCTCGTCTTTCAAAAACAGAATGAGGTGATGTTTTTATTTTAAAAACAAGATCGCCTGGTTCTCCATCAATATGTGGCTCTCCTTCTGCCGTAAACTTAGTTTCTTGGCCATCTTTCATACCAGGTTCTATTTCTATTTCTAACATGCTTTCTTCAGTAACCATTCTAAAAAACATCAAACATCTTAAATTAAATTAAAATTCATATTTCTATTTTTAATTTATAGTAAATTATTTTCAACTATACTATTTTTTAAACTGTCTAAAAATCACTTTTAGATTATAATAATATAAAAGTAATTCTGAAAGTTTATAACAGTAAAAAAAAAAAAAAAAAAAAAAAATAACTTACTTTACATTGGGACATTCATCACAAACATTTTGTTGCATCATTTGAAACCGACCAGGCCCCAATTGTTTGGTGATCATCTCTTGGCGGCAATTACATTGTCTTGTGCCATGAGCTGGTTTTATAACCGGTTTGTTTCTAGTAACCTAGAAAATCCATTAAAATATTTTATAAGTAAAAAAAAATTATATTTTATAAACTATGAAAATTACTATAAATTTATACCTGCACAAAGTTTCCATTRTATAATTCTTCTAAGGAAACATGCAAGTCTAGAACTATAGTTCCACCTTTAGGAATTTCTTTTTGTCCAGGCGATTCATCAAAATGAAAACCAAAGTCTCCAAAGAAACTGGCAAATGGATCATGACCTGCAGCCATACTGTCCTTTTTAACACACTGTTCGCCACATCTATCATAGTCTTTGCGCATTCTTTCATCAGATAGTACTTCATATGCATTTCTTAACTTTGAAAATTTTTCCGAAGCTTCAGGATCATCTCGATTTTTATCTGGATGAAGTTGTTTAGCCATTTTTCTGAATGCTGATTTTATATGATTCTGTTTGGCTGAGCGTGGCACATTCAATATATCATAGTAGTCATTTGAACTGTAATCATAACACATAATGGTAGGTATAGTCAATGTATTGAATCTATATATTTTAATAAACTTTTTTTTCTAAAATGTATTTATAGCAATATTTTTTAATTGAGCTAGTTCAGTTTATGATAAGGGATTTTATTTATTTTAAAAATGTTTAAATGAAAAACACTAATTCATGTTTAAAAACAAATTTTTAATATTGGGCATTTTACTAATTTTATAAACAATACTTGACAAGTTTAACAAATTTTAAATAAAACTTGTTCTAGTATTAAATATGTATAAGGTTTGACCCAGTTAAATGATTTATTGAAGAATGGGGTTAATAAAAATAATGATCTTGTTTTTTTTTTCGTTTTATTATAACTGTCAAATTAACAACTCAAAATGTCAAATTATTTAAATTTTGTTTAACACTAAACAAATTTTATAGGAAAAGTTGATTTTCAGGAAATTTTGACAATTCTGAACACAGGAAGATTGTGATAAACATTRTGAAACAATGACATTTTCTAAAATTCTATGGAAATGTGGTCAAAGGTCAATTAAGTCAATATTTTGTATAGTTAGGTAATAGGAATTATTAATTTTTTCAAAAATTGTCAAAATTTACAGTATCAAAAGTACTATTCAATTAGTTTTTTAGTATCAAAATTAATCATCTTTTTGTGTTACATATAATTCTAAAAATAAAGTTATAATAAAACGAAGAAAATACATTACATTATTATGCATGATATTTATTTAGTATCTGAATGTATCTGACCTACCACAACATGTGATCTAGGTATCATATTGGG